ATCTCCTCTTGAAAGCGTAGAATTTGACAATATACAAGATAAGGAACCTCAACAATTAGATAATCAAATTCTTACGCCCTTTTAACTTGAAAAATTTCAAAAAATATTTGCTCAACATACAATTAAGGAAAGCGATGAGGAACAAGAAATTAATGAACAATTAACAATACTTTTAGATCAGCAAGAAAAGGATGCTTTTTTTTTAAAATTAAGTACATTTGTTTGTTGTAAAAATAAAATGTGCTTAACTAAAATTGATCATGAATTAGCGTTTCAAATTTTTGATAGTATGCGAAAATTATCAAAAACAGAGTATAATATGTTCTTTTTAGGGATGCTTCATGCAATGGTTCGTTCTAACGAAACTTTACGTGGTAAAGAAAAACAATATTTAACCATTAAATATACTTTTGATAATGATGAAATTTTGGTCAGACTGTTACAGAAGTAGTAGGTTTTTACTATCAATTCTCAGAATAACGGGTATTTGCACACTATTTTGACTATCTGCGCATTATTTCGAGTATACCTATAGGCATTATTTTGAATATATAGACTGATTTTCTAAATAAGAATATTAATAGCCCACAAAAGACTAGTTCAAATTGGGTCTAGAACCAATCTTTTTAAGGCTGATCTAAAACTAGTCCAGATAAATTTAATAAAAGTGAATCATGAATACTTTTTGATATTTCACTTTCAAAATCATCTATATCATATATTAAACTATTAAATTAGACCTAGACTTTTTAAGAACTAAGCTGGGTCAAACCAAACAGACTCTTTAATATTCCTATCTTTAAATCTGATTTTTTCAAAACACATAATAGTGAGGTATGCATTATTTTAAAACATGCATAGGCATTATTTTGAATCTACATATGCTATTTTTAGGATATAATTTTTGAAATAATGCTTATGTCTGCTATTCTGAGAATTTACGATATATTATATTTTCTTTTATTTAATAAAATAAACATGAAGTTTATTAATTTTGTAATATTTATTTGGTTCTAAACTAATATATTTATCTTATACCAAAATTATTTTGTAAAGATTACTATGTATTAGTTGAAAAGTAAATAGCTTTGCTACCAAGTTTAGTGTTAAGCTAAATTGAGATTTTTTATTTAAAAATTTAAATTATATATATTATAAACTTTTTATATAAATATAGAAAGTAAGCATTATAAGTAAAATTTTATTATAAATATTTTTTTAAAGTTCAAAAATTAGTTATTAGTAAATTTTTGTAATTTATATATTTTTAATTTTTTATTTATCTTTTGTATATAAATTTTAAAGTTTGTAAATAAAGGTTGATTTATAATTATTGTGCATTTATTTATTTTATTATTAGTAATTTTGGTTCTGATTGTAGTTAAAAGTTAAGAATTATAAGTACTTGAGGATTAATGTTTTTATTTTTATTTTTATTGTTATATATTTTTATTCTTTTATTTTCTAATTGTATTGTTGTTTTATTTTACTAATTTGATCATAAAGATTTTTTATGTTTATTGTGCTGTTATATGATTATATTATTTGAATTATAAAATGAGTATTTTTATTTAATTGTGAGGAGAATTGTGAGTTTAATTATTTTAATATTCAAAGGCTTAGTTTGTTAACATTGATATTTTTTTTTGTTTTATTGATAAGAAGTATTAGGTTTTTGAAGTTGTGAGATTAAGTAATAATTGCTTTATTTAGATGATTTTGTAGTAAAAGAATCTAAAATAATTTTTATTAAAAATACTTTATTATTAAATTAAGTATATAGATTATTTAGTAAAAATCTATTTTTGTTAATATTTAATAGGCCAGAATATTTTTATTAATTAAAATTTGATCATGTGGGTGGCTTCACTACCTATAATATATAAAATATAATAGATTTGTTTGTTTTATTAAATTTAAAGCATTTCCTTTCTATCATTAGATGTTCTGACTTGAATTTAATATACCAATTTGGGTTCCTTCAGAATCAAAACTAATATATTAGATTTAAAGCATTTTCTTTCTATCTTCTATCATTAGATATTTTGATTTAAATTTAATATACCAATTTGGGTCCTTCTAGTACCAAAGCTATATTAAATTTAAAGCATTTTTTTTGTTGTTATTCGATATTTTGTCTTGAATTTGATATACCAAATTAGGCTTTTCCAGGGCCAAAACTGATATATTAGATTAAAAGCTAGTACATTAAATTTAAAACTTTTATTTGTCATATGAAATGACTATACTGTAATCCGTATAGCTATAAAATTACAGTACAGTATGATCTTATTATTTGCCAAATAAAACAATTATTGAATATTACATATACAATATATATTGGTAAATAAATATAGTGATTTTTTTAGAATATGGCAAAGTATGAAATTAATTTTCACTATACAGATAGAATATCAAATCAATAACAGAGATAGTGCCTAATTCAGAGTGAATCCTTCTCTTCTGTGATTAATCACAAATTAAATTATTTATATTAGATTCAATTATAATAGATATAATCTCTTATCAGTTGTAATATATATATAATATTGATAGTCTCTGCTGTTTACAAATTATGCAAATTTGTATTGGTTAGGGGGCTAAAGAGGCTAAGTTTATAATTCTTTCATTGTAGTTTTTTTGTCTTTCATTATGTTCTTTGATGATTAGTGATTATCAATTTATCAAACTAGCAAATAGTTAAAAAAAAAATATAAAATTTAAAAAAACTCAAAAAGTAGAAGCATAATTATAGATGGGGTAAACATTAGGGTTCCTCAAAATCAAATTAAATATTAGGCTTATTTGAATTTGATTTGATTTAAAAATTTGAATTTGAATTTGATTTGATTTAAAAAATCTAAATTGGAATTTGATTTGATTATTTGATTTTAAATCTTCAAATCAAATTAAAGTTTTAACTATTTATAAAAATCTTTGATTTT